ACTACTAATCTATCCTTTCACTCAATAAATATGAACACCCACCTACCATATGCCAGGCAATCTCAATGAACCTAAGACTTTTTTCCTCCATTTAAAGCAAATAATTTTCAAATTTTCAAAACATGATCGACATATATGTTTATAAAAGGGTATTTTTTAAAATTTAATAACCCAGTATATTCAAGTTTAGAAAACATGGCCATTCAAGAAAATTAAAAGGCAAATCATTAGCTTCATAATAAATTTGTAGTTTTAATGGTTTTCCTTTCTAACTCCCTACTTTTCCTTCCTTCCTTTCTCCCATCCCTCTTTCTTTCTTTTTTTTTTTTCCTTCCTAGATCTGGTACTTGACATATATGAAGGCCAAATCACTGCAATACTTGGACATAGTGGAGCTGGAAAATCAACACTGCTGAACATTCTTAGTGGGTTGTCTGTTCCCACCAAAGGTAAGAGGTTTTTTTCCGAAGTCAGGTAGTCAAGTAAATCAGCTGTTAATATCAAGTCCTTCTGATCATTAATCACAAACACAGATGGCTAGGGAAAAGTAGAGGTTAAAGTATAGTATTATTCTATAGAGGTATGCAATATTGAATTGGTATGTATGGAATTTGAGTATTTCATGATAATTACCTTCATGAACATTAGTTAACCATTTGGCATTCCAACTTGTATCTGTTAGCGTTTGCAGCACAACAAGCATCCCCAAAACGAATGGCTTAAAATAAAAAATGTTTTCTCATTTTTTCATGATTCTGTGGGTTGACTGGCAGTTTTTCTGTCTGGACCAAAGTGGTTGGGGCTGGATGCTTTCGTGTAGCCTCATTCACATATGTGGGGGTTCAGTTAGGGCCACAGCCTCTCTTTTCCTACATACACTTTCATCCTAGTCTGGGATTCTTCCCCCTTGGTGTCCACGGTCCCAGAAACAAAGAGACAGCAAATCCCAGAGGTACTTCACAGCCTCTGCTTATACCGCATTTGCTTAGATTCCATCTGTTATATAGCCAAGCCTAAATGCGAGGGTGGATAAATAGACTACTTCTAAAAGGGAAAACCTGCAAAAGGGACCTTTCTCCCTGCACCTCCCCCAGCCCCATATATCACACTACTAAAATGGAAGTTCATAATGCCAAAATTTAACCTTAAAGATAAAATCATGTATCTAAACTGCAATTAACAAAATATGGTGACTTTTCATTTAGAAAAATCTTATCATAAGCATTATCTTGATATTATTAATAACTTTTCATCTTTGTTACAGGCTCAGTCACCGTGGATAATAATCAACTTTCAGAAATGGCTGACCTAGAAAACATCAGCAAGCTCACTGGAGTGTGTCCACAATCCAATGTGCAATTTGACTTCCTCACTGTGAGAGAAAACCTCAGGCTGTTTGCTAAAATAAAAGGGATTCAGCCCCAGG